TGACCATAAGGAGAAGCTGACAGCCATGTTACTGACCATAAGGAGAAGCTGACAGCCATGTTACTGACCATAAGGAGAAGCTGACAGCCATATTAGTGACCATAAGGAGAAGCTGACAGCCATATTACTGACCATAAGGAGAAGCTGACAGCCATATTACTGACCATAAGGAGAAGCTGACAGTCATGTTACTGACCATAAGGAGAAGCAGACAGTCGTGTTACTGACCATAAGGAGAAGCTGATAGCTGTTACTGCTTTTGCATTTATCAAACCTTTAGACTCGCTCACATGACTTGAAAAAGGAAATAACTGTTGACTGCAGGCTCAACAAAAAGTCCATATAGCTGAAGTGAACATAAAGCGTTATCCATAAGACTTATGTCATCGTTTCTGTTCGAGATGGCGAAGCCTTAATTTAAAGTGAACTATATAATGCCTTCAAAGCGTAGTTAACTGAGGTATTCTCTAAGAGGTCACAGATTCATAGATACAACACTAGAAATAGAGACAGTCTCTACCTTCCTAACGGTGCCGGACAGTTTTAGAGCAACAATCGTTTGTCTATCGTGGCGCTATCATCTAGAATTCTCTTTCTGATGAGCTACGTAACTGTCCTTCTGTATCGTACTTTAAGCGTAATCTTAAAACAGTGTTGTTGCGCAACTGGCTAAGTAATTATTTTCAATACCTCTCAGATTTATGTCTTTTTTCTTTTATTCATTATTAATTATAGTATCTTATAGTAGTTCGTCCTTATTATTATTGTTAGGCATTAGATATTCGATAACAGTGGAAGTTCATTATCTTTCTATTTCAATTTTATTGTAATTTTTGATACTCTTTTTATAGTTTTATAGTTATGTAGATCCCCTCGGGTAACCTAATAAAGTCTATTGTATTGTATTGTATTATATTGTATCCAGCCTGGAAGCCGTATACACCTACGGTATTTCAATAAACGCGTTGTCATCGCCAAAGGCAATAGACGATAGGTGATTCCGACATGGAAATAGTTTCGTTGAATACAAAGAACATTGAATCAGTCTCAACACTAAGGTCCACGTTCTTGACGAGAATAAGAAGCAGAAACACAAATCATTCCAGCTATTCTTGGATTTTGGAATGACATATATCCTATCTCCTTTCGCCTGTCACCTATCTCCTTTCGCTTATTGCCTTTGGCGATGAAAACGTTTATTGAAATAGGTGTATAACGTATGTGTATTAGATACGGATTGATCCAATAGTAAGACCTTTCCCGAATGCATGCGCATGATGAATGACCACGAAACAATGGTTCCATGTCGAGGTTGGACTTGGTAAAATACAGTGAATGAATAAACACATGAAGTCTAACCTCGACTTGGAGCCATTGTTTCGTGGTTACTCCAGCGAATTCACGAAAGGTCTATTAGCATTGCCTCAGACTTCTTATGATAGTAGTAGGGTAGGGATGGCACGGGTCGGATTGTCGGGGTGGATTTCCTAATTTTGGGGTGGATTTGAGTATATTTGCGGTGGATTTAATTATGTTCTAATACGTCACGCATTACGTTATCATATGCGGTGGATTTCATTATCTTTATTACTTATTACCATAAAATGACGGGGAGAGTATTGTTAGGCAAGTTTGGACAAGTCTTTTGTTTACCAATCCAATTTATAGAGCGCGGGGATTTCGAATTTTTAACTCCAAAACTCAACCAACCAAGCAAGAAAGCAAGACCTAAAAATTTACTTTTGAGAAACGCAATGGCAATACACAGTTGTGACAAACGTCCCACGTTTGAATAAAAAAAACTGTGTATTACCATGCTTCGGGAGTAAATCGGAAAGCGGCCAAGCGAGATCAGACCGTGCATGGTGCGAAAGAATTTAGTGTTATGGTCATTAGCAAACAATAGAATTCCCAGAGCATCAAATCGTTGGGAAACGATCAATGTTTTCTGTATTTCTCRTTCGCTTYAGATCGCTTTAAATGRGTTCAATAGTCTTGCAATTTTGTGTAATATTAGTTTAAGTTCTAATTTGTATTTGACGTAGTTTTGAGAGAAATGATCAGCGAATTTTAGAATAATGGAAGATCTAGTAAGATTGACTAGAAAACTGCGATGAAAAGTGCGCATCAAATGTTGAGCCGTCTTCTGCACTATACGTTTTCAC